TTAAAGTTGTCAAAGATTTAAAATCCATTTTGAAAATTCACGATTTTCTGTATCTGCCATAGGTCTAGTAGAATGATTTCAGAGCTTGATTAAGTTGAAGGCAATGTCACAAGATTAGAAAAATGGTTTACCTGTATCAAATGTAGACACCAGCTCTGATCGTCTCACAAGGCAAGAAAAGTGTACCATTCACTCTTCTTAAGGTCTTACAACATCAGTGTTTATGGCACTGCTCAAGCGCTGCTGGTATCAGTAAAGACAAAAACTATGCCGACAGCTGCTGTTTGAATCTGTAACTATTTGTTTCTTAATATGATAACTGACCCCGACGCGGCATCGGGAACCACTGACTCCTTGGTAACGACACTGGTAAACGACAATCTGTCGTCGTGATTTCGCTTGACTTACGTTTACCACATATTCTGGCACGTTTTTAGTGGCTTTGAATTCAGCATGAGTTACAATAATTGACAATCACATGTTTCTTTGAACCAAAACTGATTAAAATCACATTCCAACGGTGACATTATACGTCACAAACCAATTTAATAGAAGATTTTTCTGCTTCAGATTAACTACAGTAGCTTTCCTATTACGTTGACATTGCTTTTGGGAATAATGCTTTTACCTGAATTATTCATGGTCCCTGACTTGTCTGTTTTTCGTTGTTATATATACATATAAATTCTTCAACCCTTTGTATATCTTAATTTCTCCGGGCATTTTTAAAATTTATTTAAGCCTGAGCTTTTGCTTTTGAGGGGATCCAAGCTTTATTATCTGACTCGAGATCAGGGCAAAGCGCATTCGGCGATTGCTGTACTCAACGGAAGCAGAGACTATAGTGTGAGGTGTAACTGCAGTCCCTAAAATCAAACTAAAAGCTAAATGATTGTAATAATTTGAAGTTTTGAAAATGTTTTTTTGGAATTTGAGAGGGGATGATAAGAAATGTTTCTCCTTTGCTCTAGGGTGGCTATATAGATCTCAAGCTGCTTGTCGTTAACTTCGCGGGAAACATTAGACACAAGTAAGTCTATAAACAGTTTGAAAAACTTGCATGCGATCTTTGTTAAAGTTTCATGACAAAAACAAAAGTCTGTATAATTATTGAACGTTACAAAATGTTTCTGGATATTTTTGCTGTTTCTGTGAAATAAATTGAAGCATTTTTGCTAAACTTGTCGTAGAGGAACCTTTTTCACTTTTTGTAATTCAAAATGGACTTAGTCAGGGGTCGTGAGTTCGAGCCTCGCTCGGGTCGGTTATTTTCCCGCACTATCTATTAGTTAAAACTTAGTCTTTCTTTTATAATACTCAATCCTGACACCCAGTCTTGTACATTTTTCGAGCATTTTTCCGCTTTACCTTGCCTTTGTCAAATGACAAGACAAAAGAACTAATAAGGTTGTCTGAATTTTTTGTTGAAACATTATTCAACAAAGCTTGACTAAGAAGAACTACCAGAAACGTCAATTACGTCTGAATAAGACGTTGGACGCCAATACTGTTTTGGGTTTCTTCTGGTATCTAGGATGGTAAGGCAATCACCCTAGACTGGGGGCCATATTCTAGTGTCAGAAACACCCTACGAAAGATAACAACCTGTTAACTGTGAATTGAAAGGTCGACGGATTTTTGCTCATAGACAACATTGACACAATAGCGGACTGTAAAAACTCATATTTAAGAAAATCTGCAATATAATTTGTGTCGCTTCTGCTGATTTCAATTAAAAAGAGACATATTGCGTATCTGACTCCATCGAAATTTTTAAAACACAGGACATACACGATGAAGTATTTTTGACTGTGATGCTGATAGAAATTTACTCTACTTTTGCCACGATTTTCCATAAATTTGGCATCAATTTTGCCAGTTTTAAGCTTTCAATCCATGGGAAATCTTAGATAGCAATTACTTAGAATTTCTATTGCACTTTTTATCTCTGTATTAAAATGGATTAATATAATGGGCTCGAACGATATGTATATATTATTCATTCATTTATTTAATTGTTACGAACAAAATGTTCAATTGTTGCCAGAATCCTTGCAATTCAGAAAACCCATAAGATATTGGTAAAGTGACGATTTAATCTAAAATATATATGTAAATATTCAAAAACATTCTGCCTTTTGCCCTCTTAAAGTTGTGGTCCGAATTTGTACCTGGAAAATAAAAGGGCCCAGTTTCCATGCCTATGAAACAGATTTGCCTGCCATCAAGTTCCAGCTTGCGATTAAGTAAAGGTCTTTTACAAACATATACTGTCATTGGGGGTGGACAGTCCCTGACATGGAGGCTAGAGAACCAAAAATGCAATTCTGTACCATATAGATTTCTCTTAACATTTCCGAGCAAGCCTGATATTTCTCCACGGTCAAGAAAGAGGGCTAGGTGGGGGCTAGATTAGGGAGGTAACTGTTTCTAGTGCAACCCCCGCAAATCACTTTCTCACGGGTTTTCCGTATTTGTGATGAGCCCCCTGAAGCCTAAATGGAGGGAGGGCGTATAAAATCATTGTAGAAATTAAAAAGACATCTAGATCTAGTTTGTTTTAGTAGAAATTTTTTATGAGCATGTCGAAATCAGGGGCTTTTCACGAGAGGAGGGCTTATTTGAGGGGATCCGAGGGAAGAGGGCAATTTGAGGAATTACAGTATTGGTACCCAGGGTACCAGAGCCACATAAATTTGAGAGTGGAAATAGAAGAAAGGAGTGAAGAAGCGGAAGAGCATTTATCTGAGAGGAAGGAGCTAGACGCCCCTCGCTTCTCTGCTTGGCGCTCTGTTTACGCGCTTGAAATTATGTGGCTCCGGTACCCAGGGTAGCATATTGATCGCTGCAAATCAGCCAGGGAGCGTTTTTAATGATTTTCCCGTAAAGCCACATAAAAATCCGCCTATTCCGTCAACCAACATCAAAATTCATGATCCATGGCGGCATTTGGTGTAGGAAAAGGTGGTCTGCAAAATTCCTAGCCCCGATGAATATGCTCCCCCTTCACCCTCCGGATTCCATTACTTACCGACATCTTACAGACAACTCAACGTCTATCCATGATAAACATCTGCAATTGCTTCTTACAGAAATCTATAAAACTTTACATGATCTCAAATCAAGTTTCATGAAAGAAATCTTTACTGAAAGAAATACATGCCATAAACTTAGAAACATATCCCGAATATCGCTATCAAAACCAAAATCAAATTGTTATGGTATAGAGAGTGCAAACTTTATGGGATCCAAACTCTGGCAAGAGCTTACAAATGACATTAAAACATCTTCTAGCCTCGTAATATTTAAGAAAAAGATAAAAACTTGGATAGATACAAAATGCAGACTATGCAAACCTTACGTTGCGCAGATTGGATTCTTGAAATAGTCATCAAATAATTGTATATTTTTATCTTATGAGTCATCCTTTTAACGTTGTACATTTCCTATATTATTTTATTCATTCATTGTAATTAATTTAAGATTTGTAAATTTAGTATAAAGAGTAGGCTTTAATTAGCTGTTATATTAGCTAAAAAATCTGCTTCGCCTACTGTAAAAAATTTTATAATAATAATAATAAATTTATTGATCATTTACTTTGTGTAGTCTGCCTGTGAAGGAAACTTCAAGTTGTTTTACCTCCTTCCTTTCCAGCAAGACTTACTATGTCTTTATGGCTAGCGTTTTTGCTGCTGTCTTCTGTTTTTGGTCTTACTGCCTCGAGGAAGAGGACAAATTATGCTGATGCCATAAATAAACGAACAGAAGGTTTGAAATTAATAGTTTGCTCAATTTGCCTGGTCTTTGTAGCTAACTTGATTGCACATTTTTATCTATGTAGACTTTTACATGACTAATTATGCTGGTGAAGTAAATCTTTCCAAGACACCCAGTAGCTTAAGCCTGGTTCTCATGTCGCCGATGGCGATCAACGCCGATGAGGGCCTTGCGATGCTTGTGATGGGCGATCATCGACGATGAGGGCCTTGCGATGCTTGTGATGGGCGATCATCGACGATGAGGGCCTTGCGATGCTTGTGATGGGCGATCATCGACGATGAGGGCCTTGCGATGCTTGTGATGGGCGATCATCGACGATGAGGGCCTTGCGATGCTTGTGATGGGCGATCATCGACGATGAGGGCCTTGCGATGCT